CCGCCAGGTATATGGGCCTGAGGACAGCCTCATAGTCCATTTGAAAGTGGCAAAGCGAGGGACACAAGAAGAGGCCTGGGTTCTGAATGCAGAAGGTCAAGCAAGTCTGGCCTAGAGAAGAGAGCCACAGTGTGGGTGAGGGGGCAGGGACACTCACAGCAGATGTCAGCTCAACACCACCAAGACTGGGGGCCAGAGGACTAGCTGGGGTCAGAGGAGGGGAAACACATATGCATTTTCATTCCAGTCTCCATAGTGCATGCATACACTCCTCACTGTATCTAGAGGAGCAAGAGGAGTGGGGAGATTGCTTAAGAAGCAAAGAGCCCCCATAGGGATTTTTAACATTGAACTGATCCTGTATTTACTCAAAGACGATGGACCTAATAGGACAAGATAGAGAGTTTTCCCACCAACTGAGTCTTAAGGGCCTTACTGGATTTTCATGAACAAGTGGAATAGATTGTAGAAAGTAAAGTTACATTTCTTCCATCTAAATGGTGTTCATAATTGTCAATCCTACTCCACTGTGTGAAAGTTCAGCCAGGACCCAGAGATCAGAACACAGCATTGTGGCCACAGCCTCACCGTCTCATATCTGGAGAAAGAGCCATTAAGATAATCTTCCAGTAAATTAAGCTCCTTTATAATGAAACAGGGTTTTGGCTACCAAACCTCATGTGGCCTCTCTCTCCTCTTGGGGACCTGGTCCAAACTGCATGACTCAAGGGAACTTGGTTACTCTTGTCTCAGAGCACCTCCAATGAGGCAGGTGCCCCAAGTTTGTCTTCCACAACAAAGTTGTTAGAATGACACATTCCTGGAAGAAAAAGTCTTCCAAAAAGGATGGGTGACCAAAGAGGACCAGAAGAGTTAGTTACTAAAAATAATTGAATTGTATTTGAGTCCTTTATCCTTCCACTAGAAGACGTACCTTTAATACTGTGTCTTTGGAGGCCATCTTATCCCTGATCTGTTCTGGAGAACCCAGAATTAGTATAAGAGGAAAAGGTGGACGGTGGATATTGGAAGTACACAAGACCTCCCTCAGGTGCTACCTTAGGTGGTCCTAGCATTTGGTTTTCTGCTACCCCAAGGAGCCATCTGTCCAAGGAAGGTCAGCAGCACATCAGAGAAGTCCTGCCTCTACCTCTGAGGGAAACTTCTATCCAATTATTGTCGTGCTCCTCTATATAAATGTGGAACCTTTTATAAAACTGAAAAATATCCCTTCAAGAAGTCCACTAGAATAGATGAGGACTTACTTCAATTAATTTAACCACCAGGCCCATATATGTCAGTGAAATAGAAAAGAAATTATTGGCTTTCTCAAATTATGCTCACTGACGGGGATAGGAGCACAAACCAGGTAGAGATCTTACCAAACACACCAGATGTCACACACATACACATGGATGCACACACAACACACCAAAACCCACTTCATGACTGAGTCAACATTTTGTCCTCATAGGAAAATTAAAGTGCCAAAAAAAGAATTCAAACTCTCTTATTTGTACAAAATAGAAATTTGTCTTTCTTCTAACTTTTTAAAAAAAATCTTAATCAGATTTGGCCTTAAGAGTCTTCTCTGGGTGCTCTCTGAACCTCTTCCTGAGTAGCTGCAGCCTGGGGAACCCTCCCTTGGAGGTGGCATCACTCCCGAGTTAGATGGATCCAGTCCTGCCTGCCCCAGACCTCACCCTTCCAAAGTTCCAGAGAGAATGACCAGCATCCGTACCATCACAGTACCAAACCCGAAACCCCCAAAGTACAGAAGACACAATAACATCCTAGATCCCAATGCAACCACTGCAAGAGCCTTCCCTCTGAGCCTCAGTGTCCTCGGTCCAGGGCTGCAAAATTAAATGCCGATGCTGGTAAGATAATAAGGCATGGTGGGGACTGACAAGCCAGAGAACACCCACCTCATCAAAAGAGAAGTTCAAATGTTTAAAATACTCTGCCGGCTAAACTTATCAGAATGTGGCCCCTGGGCCATCGGTAAACACTGGGGCAGACAAAATGCTCCCCAAGGAAAAGCCTAGACCCACCCTACTGCTGTGGTAAGATTTTTCCTAAAGAACATAGCCACTGCCTGGGGAAAATGAGAGGGAAGACAGGAGATAGATGCTTCCGGGCTTTCCCTAAGTGTTTATAAATTCATCCCAGACCATCTCATTTTAGAGCTTAAAATGCCATTAGAAGAAATGCCCCCCCCCCCCCCCCGTGATTAATTTCACAGAGAGAATCCCACAACCTGCAGAGGAGACAGTAGAAATCTACCACCCACACAGGCTTCCTTCTCCCAGAAGCTCTTTCCAAGGAATGCTGCCACGACAGGCCAAAATTTAGAAGTGTATGGTGGCGACACATCCAGGGCTCATGACAGACAATATGTTCATTCCTATATCTCTTTCCAGTGCCTTTCTGACCCAGCACAATTGGCATCTCACTCCAACACTGAGGAGGGTCTTCATCCAGGGACACAGCCTCCACAAGATCACAGGCAACTCTGAACAAAATTCAGAGCCCTGAGACACGTGAAATGTCCAAGTCGTAGCCACAGGTGACAAATAGGAGTAAACAACGGTGGGTTACTGAACATCTTGCCCCCTGGCAATGCTCGATCCCAAAACAGCAAAACCTTACACCTGGAAGTCCAGTTGTAAATGAGCCTCACCTGGACCTTGCCATTAATCTCTATCCCCGCCGAGGTCAAAGGCTGTGGCTTCACAGGGCCCACAGCCCTCTCCATCCGCACACACAAGTGTATTTGCTGATTCAATCCCCTAGTGAACCTACTCTTGCCCAAGAAGTTAACCTCCACCTCTGCCCTCAGCAGACTCTTAGTACTTCATTTGGGATTTTGCTTCTCGGGAATGTTGCTGATCTTGCACAGCCTGTTTTGGAGATTTGGGGTTCCCAAATCTCCAAATATGACCATCTCTGCTAGCACCAGGTCCTCTTCAAGGGCAAGAAGGAGTAAATGGGCATCAGGTTAGCAACTTACTCTCAAGTGCATCAGGAAAAAAAGTTCTTTGTACTGTACTTGCAACTTTTTTATAATGGGTTATTATTCCAGAATAAATGTTTTTATTTTTAAAATGATTTGAATGTCAAAGAATGGGAAACTCTTGACAAAACTAATGAAACCCTAGCACATTTTTGCAGAAAATTGCACTCTTTACAAAATTCAGGCCTTAGAAGGCACACTTGGCAGAAGTTATATGCATATATTAAAAATCTCAAATTTATTAATTCTTTGTTAAGTCTAAGAATTAGCACACTCTTTCAATTAACAACTTAAACTTAGTCAAAAGACTAGAAGTTAAGTGTCTTGTTCCCTTTTTTAAAAAATTTTCAATCAGAACTTTTGTTTCTTAAAGGAAAATGTTAAACTCCACTTTAAATCAATTTACTAGTAATGGCCTATTTCCAGGATCACCTGTCCTTGGAAAACATGGCTCTCCTATCCTTGCTGCTGGCATTGCCACTGTAGGCTTGCCGTGATACCCGGCTCAGCAGGACCAGCAGAAATGAACAGCCAGGTAACTCACCCTGAGAAGGGCATGGTAATGCTCACCTGATAAGGATCAGTGGGATTAAATGCAGGTAAGATTCTTGCCTTAATATCTAGTACATATTAGAACTTACATTTGTGGAAGCATTATTATATTAACTTAAATAGCCAGGTTCCAGTTTCAGTCCAGGACCTCTCTGCACTCTTTCCTTTTGCTCTTAGTCATTTCCTGCCAGCTCACGTAGTAGCAACAGAAATTCTGTCTCCTAAGGGTTGACTGGCAAGGGAAGGTTTATATTTCAAATGGCCCAGAATTTGAAAACCTAGATGGAGCATGTGCACAAATGGAATTCTTAGAAGAGTAATCAAATCATAAATAGGAACCAAGGCCAGCCAGTCAGCAGGAAGCCTGTAAGACCTCAAACAAGGGTGAAGCACTGGTGAGAGCCAAGTGAGAAAACCCAGAACACTGGCTACAAACAGAGCTAAAGTGCCTGCAGCTCATGGTTGATTGCTCAATCGATACTGATTGTTCATGGTGAGTCAGGCAGGCTTAATAATGTATATTCAATTGAACATTGACATGCCAGGTACTGTGCTAGACACTTCACTGACCCGATGCCATTGACTTGAACCTCGCAGTTATCTTATATACAAGGCGGGTACGATTATCATTCCCATTTTATAGATGAGGGAACTGAGGACTGGGAGATTCAGATTAAGTAGCTCACCCAAGGTCACACTGCTAGCAAGCGGTAGAACCAGGGTTTGAACCTCCACATCCTGTCTCCAAAGCCTGCACTCAACTGCTATTCGAAACTGCCTCCCACCACCAACCATCATGTGTGACTCCATAGTTCCCACTGCCCCTCACATCAGAATATGCAACTTGCTTGTTACAGTACATTTAGTTCCAGAGTCTGACAAGCCTTTCTTATTTCCGTAGCAATCGTGTTGTGGGTTGGAGCAAGGGGTCTCATTTTTGTAATAGTGAGACACAGCAAGAGCCAAAAGTCCACTTTGCAGACTTGGAGAAGCAGGCTGCTAATTTGAGTGGCTTTGTTAGGTTGGCAGAGTAATAAGAGCTGTTACAATAAACTTCTTTGTTATTACTTAGAAAATGCTGCCTTCTGACAAGGCCAATTTTTTAAAAAGTGTGTGTGTGCACATGTAGGTGAGTGTGTGAATGTGTGCGTGCATGTGTTTGTGTGTGTGTGTGTTTACATAAGTTATCACCATGCAGCTTTACATATGGTAATCTAGTACTTATTTCTTTTTCTACAGACCTCAGAATCCAGAAACCGTTTTCATGCGTTAACTAGGGTCATAAAAAATAAGCTTAATTCTATGTTCGGTGATTCTGGAAAAGTTGCCATCCCCTTGAGGTGTTACCAGTTAATTTGGGGACATCATAATAGATCTTCCAAACTAGCAAACTCTGCCTCCCACCTAGGTGCTTTCACAAAATGATCTTGTTTCAATCATGGTTCAGCATGGAGAATAACCATACATCAAGAGAAGCATTTTGACTTTTTTTGACATCTACATTGCAATTTAAAAAGAAATACTTTACCAGATTCCTGGTCGTGGAGGTAACTCCAGTTGCAGACATCAAGCACTGGCAACAAGCGTATGCTGACTCACTGCTGCCACCATCTGCCCAGGGAACTTTTTCCTCGTTCTTTGAGCCCACAGCATGGCTCGCATGCTGGGCGTTGTTTCTCAATAGCTCTTTAGCCATATGTGGTTCAGAAGTATTGTTGATATAGTTCTGATGATCTGAGTCTTGTTTCTAGAAACCAAATTTAGTTGTCAAACAGTGCAAGTGTCAGATATTGAAATTTTAAATCAATATATTTTGAAGTTTTAATGGATAAAATTTCATTAACGTGATAAGGGCAATGCTTAAGTTTTTTTTGGAGAGAAAAATCATTGCCAAATAGATTGCATTTTGTTCTTCTATAATCTTAAAATGTTGTGTAATGGGCAACTGCATTCAAAATATTATACCACAGAACAGATCCTGTATTTTAATGAATCCAGCACAAAACAAAGCACTTCTGTTACACAATAAACATGCGAGAAAAAACTAAGGCAGCCACCTGCACATTTGCAAACACTACAACCATGTTACAACCGAACTATCCCATTTGGCCAATAGGGCAATCCATTCCCACCACTGCAGAATGTATCCTCCCAGTAAGTCACCTAAGTAGAACTAGTAGACAAGGAAACAAAAAACACCAAAAAAATACAGTTATACACCATGATATTTTTGTCCTAAGTTTCTCAAATGAGTGTTTCTCTACTAGTATCTGTCTTTCTCTTCTGTCCCTAAACATGGTCCCTTTGCTACTTCGAAAAGACCTTTACTGACTCTAACAGTCAAGTGCGCGCGCTCTCTCTCACTCTCTCGCTCTCTCGCTCTCTCGCTCTCTCTCTCGTCTCAGACTTCCAGGTTGCATGGACTTGAAGTCTGCCCCTTCCCTCTGCATAGACTCCCGATTTTTAGCAAAAATACACCCTCAATCCGCTATGAGCTGGCTTCCAGCCCATTCCTATTCCACAGCTCAAATGCTGGGCCTGGCTGCATTTCTGGGCCTCTCTGTAGCTTCCACTCCTTCCCACTCTCAGATTTTCAAAATTCCCCCATTCCTGACTTTAGGACCCATCTTGCCTTCCCACTCCTCCTTGTCACCTTCTTTCTGATGGCTGCTCCTTCCTCCTGTCAATGATGTCACTTAGGGCTCATTTCTAAGGCCTTTCCTCTCTTCATGTTTTACCTCTTCTGATGACTAATCCATTTTCAGGCCTTGATGGTTTGCCTCTCCATGGAATGAGCCTATAAAACCAACCCACACATTCAATTGCCTAACAGATACTTCTGAGCTGTGTACTCTGGCAACAGCGGTGACACTATGGTGCTTCGCAGTTTGCAAAGAAGGTTCATTTATGTCAATCCACTGAATAGTCAGAAAATCCGACAAGACTGGTATCACCAGACTATTGCTGCGCTCTCCAGCAAGACCCTTAGGGAAGGCCCCTTCAGGACAGAAATGCTTCTTCTTTCTGTGTCCTGTTTGATGTTCTTCCTGCTGAAGAAAAGCCCCCACCAGAGTGTGGGTTTATGGAAGCCTCCTCTCCTAGCCCAGTTGTCAAGGTCCTATTAAAGCTTCAGCAATTAGGAACTCAGGACCCTGGACTGTGGCAGGAGGGCAGTATATAGCTCAGGTCAGGAACTTGGCCCCAAATCTAACATAGGCCTGGACTCAGTCCCCACTCCTGGCATTTCTTACCTGTGTGGACATTAATTGTACTCTGTTTTCTTCCTCTGCAAAATGAGGACCATAAAAAACTCAGAGAACTGTTGTAGATTAACTGGAACATATAAATAAACTGCCTGGCACACGCAAAGGGCTCAATAAATGATGGATATAATTGTTTTAACTTCTTCAATCTTTACCTCAGAGTCTTTGGCTCCTTCCAGAACGTCACTGAGAACTTGTATGTATTCAGTTGCACCTTTAAGGATATCAACTTTGCTAGGCTTCCTGCTTTGAGGAAGAAATGGCACCAGTGTCTTCAGTTTGGCAAAACCACGGTTTAGGTTTTTTATCTGGAAAACAAAAAGGCAGTGAGACACATAGAAACTAATTTGTACAGACATTCCCCAAACCACAGAAGGGGGTTTTGAAGGCTCATTTCCACAGCTCTCTTGTCTGTGTGGGAATCTAAGCAGGCACATGCCAAAGAGTTGCCATTCCACGGACAACAGTCCCTGGCAAGGAAGGGGAGAGGGAGTGACATAAACTCAGCACTGTGGGTAGACAGGCTGGAAGGAGTGTCTATACTTGATCCCCTCCTCGTCCTCTAAGAACACATCCCCTGCGCTGTCATGTAGGGGCACTGGGGGGGTGGCTAAAAGCTCTGAGTGGACACTGCAGGATTTAAAGCCCAGCTCTGTCATTTAGCTTTACAAGAGTATGTAGCATACTTCGTATCACCAGCCCTTGGTTTGATTATCTGCAAAGTGAAAATACCCATCTTGTAGCTCTTGAAATTTTTGCCCTGCTGAGTAGATGATTTAGAGTGTTAGAGTCCAGAGGGTCCGTATGTTGGTGAGGCTTGAAAGGTCGGATGAGATGCCTTTTTTTTTTTGGTCTCCAGGATCTAATTCCTAGGCTCTAAAGCCCGAAACTGGTGAGCACCCTCTAAGTGACACAGTCCCTGAAACACCTGGCTCCCACCACACCATAAAGCCAATCAATATACTCACTTACCTAGTGAGCTCTCTCCCACCCCATATCAAAGCGGTCAATGGACCAAGAAACATAAAAATACTGAACTTTAATAATCAAAAACTACAAATCATAACAGAAATTAGATGCCATTTTTCATGTACCAATCTAGTAACATTTTTGTTTCATTTTGTTAATCATGCCCTGTACTAAAGATGGAAAAGGGAACAGTCCTAGATCTTGTAAAATGGGATTAAAATTGGTTAACTTTTCTAGAAAGCAATTGGGTGACTTGTATCAAAAGTTGGGATTCTATATATCCCAGTAATTGCATATCTAATATTTTATTCTAAAGCAATGATCAGGGATGCACAGAGATTTGAATACCAGTAAGAAGGTGCAAAAAAAAAAAAAAAAAAAAAAAAAAAAGCATACATGCTCCACAATACGAAACTAGAGAAGTTATGGTCCATTTCTAGGTCAGTCTATGCAGTCAAAAGCTGTTCTTTGAAAGAATACCTAGGAATATGAGGAAATGTTTTTGATAATATTAAATGAAAAGGATATAAAGATATGTACTAGATGATCACAATTTTGTAAGATTATACACACACACACACACACACACACAGAGAGCTAGAAAAAAGACTGGGAGCATATACCCAAGAATAATAGTTCATAGTCATTATGTTGGTGTTGTGGGTGTTTCTGTTCCCTATTTGGTCATCTCTGTATTTTCCACGTGTGCTAATTGTATCATTATAAAGAAAAAAAAGTCATTAGTTTTAAAATAGGGCCAATTCCTGCAGAAAGCGATTCCTTCCTGGTGGGAAGGCCCACATAAAATGTAAAATATTGGATCAGAATCTTGTTTGAAGGCCACATCATCACATCAGATCACAAGGTTATTTTCACAAAGTCTAGTGCCTGGTAAAACCATGCTTCTCCACTCTTGCAATTTTCCCATCTTTCCACTAAGTCTTCTACTCTTCCTTGGTCCTTCATCTGCACACCCTTTCCCAGGCAAAGGTCCTAGTTAATTCACTGGGGCAACATTTCTAAGGGGCAGGGGTGTGCAGGAACAGGCCCCAGCAGAACTTTCTCAAGTCCCAGCCTAAATGCGCGCCGCTGCCTCTTCCTCCACTCACCCTTCTGTCCCTGAGACCCTCCCTCCTCTACCTCAACCCAACCCAAAGATTGCAAAGGGACCAAAGGGGTCCCAAAGATCTGACAAGTCTGGGATCCAAGATAAGTTAGAAATACTAAAAGCTACCAGTAGATGCCGCTCCTACTACGACCCACAGGACCGTTCTGGTTGGAGATTCAGCGCGAACCCCGGCTGACTGGCACCTGGGCCCTTTTTCCCTCCGGGCAGCAGGTCGACTGGGAGTCTAGGCGTACACTGGGGCGTCGTGGTTTTTGTTTAAAGTAAGGAGTAACTTCTATTAGGTCGTGCTCACCCCATTTAAGCTTCGAGACTGAGACGCAGAGCACAGGGAAAAGGGTGGAGAGAGCTCTGCGAGCCCCAAGCACCCACCCAGCGCCCTCGGTTGTGAGGTTCCAGCGCAACTCCCGTGCTCTAAGCTTCTTAAAAACACCCGCCCAGGGAGACATTTTTGAAGTGGTCCGGGGCCTCCTCAGCTCCCCCCAGACGAGTTCCTGCCCAAGTCCAGATGGGCTGGCACGTGAGGTGCCCATCCCAGTGGCAGCGAACAGGCAGCTGGACCAGGGTGGAGGGTAACAAGGCCACTCCCCTTCTCTCAAGCTAGGACACGAGCTGGCCCTCAGGAGGCCAAAGTCGCCTCCGGACCCCGCAGGTGGGCGATGAGTGGGTTCACCGGGACCTGGCCAGGTGTTCGGAAATGGGTAGCAGGTATGGGGAAGAGGGAAGGAAGTCATTCTTGTCCCAGTGCGGGGTTGTGGAGGGGACGAGCCCAGATGGCCTCGGGGACCCGCGCGGGGCAGGGCGCTCACCCGCTCGCGCTCCTTGGCGTTGGCCACACGCCGCCGCTCCAGCACCAACTGGAGGTCCTCGGTGGACGAGTAGCCGCCCGAGGGCAGTCTCTTGAGCCGGCAGATAGCGGCCAGCTGGGGCAGTGGCCCGAACTGCTCCCGCAGCACGTCCTCCAGCACCTCGGCCGGCGAGGTGACTACGAAGCCCGGCAAGGCGTCCATGGCGGCGCACGGGGCCCCAGGGCTGTCCAGGCCTTTCATCAGGGGCACCTGGAGCTGCACGTGGCCCACGAGGCCACGGGGGCGGGGCCTGGACCACCTGTTCCCATTCCCCTGCCCATTTACTGAAAACCGGGTCCCACTGTCTGGAAGTCGGTCCAGGAATTGTGTTTTTTAACAAGCTGCACCGGTATTATGGTGAACACATTGCAAACAGCACTGGTTTTCAAATTGGGCTGCCCACTGGAATCACCGGGGGAGTTTTGTATGTATGTCTGTTTTAATACACGTACTTGGGTACCAATCCCCAAAATTCAGTTTTAACCAGTATGAGTTTCTGATAAAAGCATACACATGTAGGTAAACACACATATGCACATATATACATTTACCAAGGAAAACAACTGATGGATACACACAAAACTTGTTTAAAATTCATTCTGAAATAAACATTGCAAGAGCAGTAACAAAGAGGTCCTGTACTCCCCTCACCGAGATTCGCTACTTGATAACTTTTTTCACCTTTGCTTCGTCATCCTCCTTCTCTCTATGAATATTCCCATTTGTGTTACTCTTTTTCTAGAGTATTTTCTCTGTCTTGCCCTGTCTTAATGACCTTGACAGTTTCAAAGAATAGAAGCCTTTCATTCTGTAGACGTCCACCAACCTGGGTCTTTCCAAAGTTCCCTCATGTCCAGATCCAGGCAGTGTCCCCTTGGCAAGGACTCCATAGAAAAGATGCGGGGCTTTTCTCAGTGCGTCACATCAGGGGACCCATGATGGCGGCCTACCCCCCCCCCCATGGTGATGCTAACCTTGATCCCCCAGTCAAGATGGTGCCTGCCAGGTTCTGACACCATAAATTGGCTAATTTTTCCTTTTAATGATAAATAGTTTGTGAGGAGACATCCTTAGCATCCATTGCTGACTCCTTCCCAAATTAAGCACCATTCTGATCATTGCCAAAAGGTTAGCATCCTACTGTTGGGAAGAGCTTTCCCTTCTTCCCATTAATTTATTCATTCCTTACTCATCAGCATGGTCTCATGAATTTCTGTATTACTCAATAAAGTGTAATCCATCCATACATATCATAATTTATTTTAATATCAAAATGTCCCCGATTTGGCCTGTGGGAAGCTCTTCAGGCTGGCCTCCTCTGTCCTTTTGACATGATCCCATCATTCTTTGAGTACTTTTTCACTTGTGCCCAAAAACAACACATGTTCCAGGCTCATCTTGAATTTTCCTAGTCCCAGCCTCAGAATCAGTCATTTCTCCATTTAGTGAAAAATAGGATTTAAAAACCAAGAACAGATGTTGATTGTTCATTCCTTTTGGGATATCATTGTTTCTAAGCCCTTTTACAGACATATATATATATATATATATACACACACACACACATATATATACATATATATACATACACATGCATATACACAAAAGCATACATACACATACAGCTATGTCTAGCTCTCTGTGAATATAGATGAATAGATATATTTATAAGCATGAGTTCACACTAATACCTCCAATTCTAATCCAGTATTTCTGGTTTCTCCCTCGTTTCCCCCTTTCCTTATTTGTAACTCTCCTCTCAAATAATGAGAAACCCAACTCTGGTTATCCTTGGTGTATTTACTTATTTGCTCAATTCTCATGTATCAGCTATTTCCTAGTAACAACAGCCATTTCCTCAGCCTCACCTCCTCCTCAGCTCCCACCATGGCATTGCCTCCAAGGGGAGGGCAAGGGGAAGAGAAGACCCACCAAATGTCACTGGGGATCCCCTGATCAGTGGGCCTGGGAATCGAGAGGAATGATCTGTGCATCCCATCTTCTATATTGCTTGCATTTTTCATTATAAGCGTGGGTCACTTCTATAATTTTTTAAAATATATTTTAAATATATATTTTATTTATTTTAAGACATATTTTTGTTTGCTTTAAGTTCATTTGGTGTTGTCTGCTGGGAGGCAGATAGAAGGCAACAAGAGCAAAATGTATGGAAACAAAGCTGAAAATGGAGATAGTTTACACATTTCCTTAACTTTCCTTGATGATCAAAAAGGACATTATTGACATTATTCTATTTTATTGCCAGACCCTGCAGTAGACCAGCTGGTGTGCATCAAGAACCCAGTGAGAGAAGATCAGACTTTATTCTTTCATACTTGCTCCTCCCCATCAACTCCAACTACAACTTTTTGGCCTCTCGGCTCTTAGATGTCTGCACTGAACCATCTGTTCTGATGCAGAGCAGTTTGAGCCAAGTCGCTACACCTGTTAGGGACTTAGTGCCGAAACCTTGCCATCACCCAATAAGGTGGCCTAATGAGCATAAAGACTTATTTCTTCTTCCTCTAACAGCATGAAAGGCATAGGTCAGCAATGTGTCTCTGCCTCTCATGATCACGTAAGAACTAGATTCTTTCCAAATCATGCTCCTGCATCATTGTTCCTGGGTGTCATTTCCAAAAATGGAGCTGGTGCCCCACAGGGAGCAAGCCCCATAGCAACAAAGCCCCAGGCCATTCACCCCAGTCAAAGTTCAGAGCAGGCTCAGAAACTCTTCTAGGTATACCAAGTAGATGCCAAGTAATTTATTTCAGGGACTTAGGTGCTTACACAAGTATCGGGGGCACTGGAGGAACAGGAGGAGCTCTGAGCTCAAAAACACACCATCAAATCTATGGACTAGGGAGCAAGGAGCCACGCTCCCACTCAAGCCCACAAAGCCGGGAAGGGACCCTGGAACACGGCTGCAAAGAACGTTCCTACCTCCTGGCTTGTCCACAGGAAACAGGCAAAAGGACAGGGAGGTATGCTCGCATATCTCTGCTAGCAATCTCACACAACTGTTTGTAGTTAAATCACCTTGATTGGCATTGAGAAGCATGGGTACAAGGAGTTCTGGAAAATAGAGCTTTGGCTTTCTTTGCTGTTACAATGCAGAAAGGAACCCTGGAGAAAGGGAGAGAGGATGTTGGTTGAGAGGCCAATCCATATTATCTTCCACCTTGAGACACAGAGAAATTGCTCCTTGCTGCATCTCATGTCCCAGCAGAGAAGCACCCTCTCCTGCATCTGCCATCCTGGGTGCACTCTGGAGATCCTATGACACCAACCAGAGTGAGGCTCGGACACAACTCCTTTAATCTCCTTAGCTCAGTCAATGCACAAAAGAGCTGCTAAAAAACAACTTTAGTAAGAGAATGCAAAGAATGACATTTTAAAAAGGGATTAAAACCTTCAGACAGACACATCTGTCTGAATTCCCATCCAAATTAACTTGGCAATATTATTATTCATATTTACATGAATTTGTATTATTATTACATATTATTTATTACATAGTATGTATGAATTTATCTCACTATATTCCTGGGAATTAGACTTAACTCCCATTGTACTGATGAGAAAATTGATGCCAGAGAAGTGGAGTGATTAGCCAAGGTCATGCTGCTGGTCAGTGGCAAAGCCAAGCCTAGAAGTTAGGTTTGCTGTCTCCATTGTAATTCTTTTTCCTCAAGGTCTGAGTGGCCTTCCTCCCTAGGTCACTGAACCCAGCCCCACACTTCCAGTTGGCCAAGTCCCCTGACACACAGACCCTGCTTCTTTCTCGAGGCTCCACTTGCCTTGCTCCGCACTTCGTTTCCCTGGAGGCTCTTCCTCCCCCACCCCAATGGGTATGAGCTGGGGTTAATCTTGGCCACATCACCAACAGGGTTAACAGTGAGTCAAAAGTGTTTCTTCCCAAAGATAAGAGGAACAGACCTGCAGGCTCTGTCCCCAGGAAGCTGGTGCAAGGTCCTTTCCTCACAGGGACCGTCAGAGGTCCTCGTTTGCACTGCCATGCTTCTGCTTCAGTCAGTAGCCCTGAGCTCTGACAAGATGCAGAAAGATGCCTGGGCAGCCTCACAAAGGGGCAGGTGGAAGCTTAGAGCCCTGTTGGCTGTGCAGCATCACAAAAGGGCTGAGGCTTAAACAGGGCCCCAGGGTTAGTCGTGGGTCACAGGGAAGAGTTTCTGTAGCGCAGGGTTTCGTAGGACTTTTGGGCAAGGCATTCAAACTCGAGGCCTCGTCTTGCCATCTGTAAAGTGGAGATTATAGCAGAACCTTCCGCAGAGTTGTAGTGAGGAGTCAATTAGGCCTGTACAGAGGGATCTGTGTGCCACCCACCATTCTAAACTTGTTATAGGCAATAATTTCCTTAATCTATACAACATCCTCAAGAGGGAGGTACTCTAACTTTCTCACAGAAGAACAAATGAGATGAAAAGTCAGGTAACTGGTTTTTCCAGCTACAAAGGGGCAAAACTGGGATTGGACCCAGACAGTCTGGCCACAGAGCCTCCTGTCTCACATAACTCCCACTATACTGTAAGCAATGTCTATAGTAGCAGAGATAATTTGTGAACCAGATAAAATGTCCAGAAACTAGGCTATTGTACAGACAGGTCCCAAGTGACCCATTCAGAGGGTTGTTCTGATGGGTCTTCCACTGTTCAGATGGGTGTTCTGAGCAACAGTGCAAAAGCTGCAATCAGAGATGATTGAGAGGACACCAAGGCACAGGGCTCAGTTCCCATGACCTGGTAGCGGAGATATTTAAAAAGACTCGTTGGATTCATCTTGAAGGGTAAATTACAACAAAAGCAGGGCTTAGGGAAGATTGAAGAAGAAGTGGGGTGCAGCTGACGTGGGGAGGATAAGGGGAGCTAAGAGGCACGTCTGTGCTGTGACTACTCTGCTGCGTGGGCCCTTGTCCTGTAGGAGGAAGCCTTCTTGAAGCCCAGATGGCATTTTCTATCCTAAATCACCCTTCCCAAGAGTAACCCAGGCCTTCTTACTCTTCTGTGATTTTCCCTGGAGCCTGGGACATTCATTGGTAGTGAGGGTCCCTGGAGTTTGTTGGCTTTGAGCTGCGGGAATTGCTAGCCACAGGTAGAGGTAGAACCATTTATAAGGGGTCCTTATAAGAGAGAACAATACGAAAGGAGAGCGTTTTTCTGGTAGGCATGGTACAGGTACACTGGGGGCATTGGACCAAGGCCCGGGCCCAAATCTAGGTACAGTGTGTGTGATCAAGTGCTGTAAGAACTCAGGAGCATGGAACGCTGGGGCATGAGTAGGGGATACTTGGAGCTGCTGACTATAAGCACGGGTACATTTTCCTCCAAGCTAGTGACTTTCATCATCTTCAAAATGCTGTGACAATTTCTTCCAAAGTGTTCTCTCTCCTGACTGAGAAATTGTTCCCTGCCCCTAGAAAACCAGGCCTGAGAAAAGAAGTCTATGCCTTCTTCTCCCTATGCTAGAGTCAGGCTCTCCTCTAAATGGCAGTGTGTAGACACTGGTCTCTACAGGTTGGGTCCTCATAGCCAGAAAGTCTAGAAACCATTGGCTCTGGGAAAAAAGGCTGTGGGCATCGAGGTGCAAACAGCATGGCCTGTGTGGTGACAATTGTCTGTCACAGCCTGTTACTGCCACCAACACAATCCACGGTCACCAAGAGGGGCAGCTATATACAGTTTCCACAGTGCAGCAGGGCAGGGTGGGGCAGGCACTCCAGGGTGACAAGCTGACCACTTCCCCCCCAGGACAACTGAGAACTACACTCTGTTTCCTCAGAAGGCTCCACTCAGTCTGAAGACAATTCCTCTGCATTTCTGACTCCTTCTTGGGAGAAAGGACCAGGCTGGGCATGAGAATTGACCCTGGAGTGTGAGCAGGAGAGAATCCTTCATGTTCATTTGTCCCTGATCTGCCAGCTCTAGACCACAGACCACCATTGGCTGGACTGATACGAAGAGCTGCCTGCTGCTCCAGAATGTCACCTCCCTCAGGGTCGAGCTCCACAGAACTCCTTTCTGTGGCTGTGAGAAAGGGCTGGACATCCTAACTATCCCTGCTTCCCATTAGAATACCAGCTTCATGAGGGCTGGGATTTTTATCTGTCTGTTTCACTACTGAGTCCCCAAAACCTAGCAGACTGCTTGGTGCATAGTAGAGGCACAATAAATATTCCTTGACTGAATAGAGATAAAAAGCAAAATTCTTCAAGTAGATTTAGTGGTTGTGGATCCTTAGACATAAAACAACAGAAATACATCAAAAACTATTGGAAATACAAGAGTGTGACAAAATGATACACATAGACATATGTTAAACATAAGAGTGTTTTAAAAAATCCTCTTAGCTAAATTGATAGGTTGAGCAGACAAATTATAAATGAGGATATAGAATATCTGAATGACAAAAATTACAAGCCTAATCTAAGAAATATGCCTATGGAACATTTATAAAAAGTGAGCATATAGTAGGCCACAAAGAAAATCAGAGTAAATTCCAAAAATGTAGGACATATTATTTAACACTGGCTCCTACTTTTTTTGTATGAGACAGGAAAACCCTAAAAAAATAGAAGTGCATACAAACAAAACAATAAACACATTTCTACATATCATTATTGTTATAGGTTCAAAATATCATGGAATAAACTATCAGGAAATCAAATCCAGCAATATAGTAAAAGACTACCATGACCAAATAGATTCCTATTTGAGAAACACAAAGATATTTCATCATTAGGAAGTTATTAAGTAATTTATTATACTAATAGATAAAAAGATAAATATTTGTATTAATATTTTGATAGATGCTGAAAATCTACTTGAGAAATTAGGACCCATTCCTATTTAGAAAATAACGTCTGGTGATTTAGAATTGAAGGAAAATTTCCTTTACTTAATGAAAGGTAATTATCATAAATCAACAACAAGTAACAAAATATAAAACTGGAAATAGTCACATTAATGTCAGGAACAAGACAGGCATGTCATCTCTCACTGGCACTAGTCAACATTGTCCTAGAGGTTTTACCAATCTAAGAACAAAAGAAAAAGAAATAAGGTATAAATTCCAGTTATCATTACTTGCAAATAATTTTATCCAGAAAACCCAGTACAATTAACTAAAAAAATATGTAAGAACTAATCAGAGTTCTTATGTATGTATTCAATAAAGTAGTTAATATACAATAAATACAATATGATATCCTTAATATCATAATATCTTATTAGAGAATATATTGTTTCCAGTTAAAAGAGGTAGATTCAATGCACACATTCATGTCTGGTTTCCCAATAAATCTACTATAATGACACTAGAGGAATGAAAATAAGAAAAACTCAAGATGACAAAGAGAATGGGAGAAGAATCAATGGCAGACAAGACATTTCAACAAAATTTTGAGGCTGACAGTGGTTGGATGAATGGTAGCTGACTCAGCAGAACTGAGAAAATGGAACTCTACTGCAATAGTACGGGCAGTGAATAAAAATCAGGGCAACCCAGTCAACTCAGAGCTCAGAAGTACCTGTTACCACTAAAGGTAAGGGTGCAGGACAGACTGTAAACAGAAGAATGGCTTACTCAGCCCCTCTTCCACCTTCTGTAACCAGGCAACACCCACAGCTGCCTACACTACAGAAGGGCAGTTCATATCCAGAGAGGTCTGCACAGCAGACAGGAAGCGGGGGATCAGGCACTATCTCTATATCAAACAGTGAGTTGCCCGGCCCCTTTTTCCCTCTGGGGCCTGTAGACTGCTGGCAGCTGAGCTTCTATTTTCCAGGGAAAATATTGAAGAATTCCTTTCTGAGGAGTCTTCTGTGACCCTTGGATGAATTGAAATCAGAAATGCAGGGAGGCTCCAATGAAAAATCCAACTAGCCACTTCATGCCCTGCAGTAGAACCCACCCATCACCAAACCTGTCCCACAAAGATCTAAAAATTTTTGAAAAGGTTAAAGGGAGACTTGCCCTGCTGGATAACCAAACATATTACAAAATTACAATAATTAAAACATCATGCTTCCCATAAAGGAAAAGGGAACTCATGGGAACACAATCAAGGATCCAGAAACAAGCCCAAGAATTTAGTATTTGAAAGAGTTGGCTTTTCAAATGAGTGGAAAAGAGTATGTTAAAATTTAATGATATTTGAGAAAATTCCGGATGGTAAATGTAAAAAATAAAGCTATATAAAAGTACTAGAAGAAATGTCCCCCCAGGACAACTGAGAACTACACTCTATTTCCTCAGAAGGCTCCACTCAGTCTGAAGACAACTTAATTCCTCTGCATTTCTGACGCCTTCTTGGGAGAAAGGACCAGGCTGGGCAAGATGTTATTTCAATTCTAGGACAGAGGAAGAGTTTCTAAGATTAATAAAAAGCTAAGAAACCATAAAAGAAAAGGTCAAAGGAAAACCCCAAAAGAAAATACAAATACAGGCAGATCAAAGTCTTATTCAGCCAAACATGTCATAAAAGATAGAACAGATTTCCATTTCTGATCATAATGGAGTAAGTGGACATGTCCTTTTGCTGTAAGCAACTAGAAAACTGGACAAAATACATGAAACAATTGTTTTCAGAAAGTGGACAATAGGCAGAGCAAAACTGTGATTCGAGTTCCTGGATAGGAAAGCAGCCTGGATGAGCCCACAAACTGCTCTGGGTTTCTTCCTGGAGGCTCTCTTCAGACCACAGAGCAGGCAAGAGGGCCCCACATGGTGCATGACAACCTCAGCAAAGCTGGGTAGAGAAAGATGGGAGTTTGAGGAGACAGAGAATGCTGGAATTTGGGGAGGAAAATGAAACGGAGGGAGCTATGCAGTGAAAGAGCTCCAGAAATTGTAAGGTTCCCTGTGCACGCACAGGAAGGACTCTACAGGGCAGGACAGAGAACTGTTCTAGAAATTCTTATTCTAAACTGAGTTGGCAGAAAGCTGAGTCCCCAGAAGGGTGAATGGGGTCAAAGGAGAGGCTCTGAGAATTAACAGTCTGAAGATGAGACAATGCCAGCCATAGGAGAGAAATGTGTTTTTGGAGTGATTTAAAGGCCTGGAAGAATGCAGCTCCAGCCCCATCTGCAACAAAGGAAGTGCAGGAAGCACCCAGGATGGTTGTGACTTCCTGGTAACTTGAACCCTGTACGGTGTTCCTGTCATTTGTGTTAAAGCTCTGCTGTTGTGTGGTGGTGTGTTTTTTTTTATCCAACAAACTAACTAGATGTTCCTAGCTATAAAGCCCTAAAATAAGGATATAGTTGTTTCAGAACAGAAGGGACACTGAGAAAGAACTAACCCAAGGAGAAGAGAGTATGGTGGCTGTCACAGAGACAAATACAAAGATTTTGTTCATTCATCAAGTGTTTATTGAAGACTTGCTGTCTGACAGGCCAGTGCTGGTTGCTGAGGGGGACACAGAAGCACAGCACAATTCTTGTCTGGAGGAAATGTTGATGTCATAGGGTCATACAAGATAAGCATGTTTGAGAGTTAAATATTAAAAGGACAGAGCAGTAAATACAAAAGGCCAAATGGAAAGCTCCAGAGAACAAGTTGGGTTCAGAGGCTCACAAGACACCATGGTGGGAAGGGTCCAGAGCTGACAGTGGAGGTGACCTCTCAGTTCTGGCCTACTTCAGGCCACACCCTGACTGATGGGCTTCTTGCAGACCCAGTGATAGAGGGTGTTGCAGTTTATGTCATTCCACTTCTGCTGAATATGAACACAATCTTCATCCTGCCCATTGCTGATCCAGTTGTCTGGCTGTTTATCTGACCAAAACCTGGAAGAAGAAGGCTTTATTCTGCTAGATGAAAGAGGCATCATTTCCCCCACTGTGGTATAGGGAGCTGAAGTGACATGGGTCCCTAATCCCCTGGTGGCCCCAGGATGGGAACAAAGCTAGGTCCAGAGTTGCCATGAGGGTGGCTCTACTGAGGTTGTCCTTAGTTATTGAAGATCAAGGGACAGAAGGGTGTCTGCAACTGTAAGCCCCCACCTTCAAATTCACATTCAGATACCTAGTGATGGGGACAGCACCTCTTGAGAGTAGGCTTGTATAGGGTATATAGATTAGCCAAAAAAAAACCCAAATCAGGAAGATCCACTCATAGGCTGCCTGCCAACCCTAGGACCTGCCTTGTGGAGGGGTTGAGGCAAAGGTCACGAATATGCCCATGTGTGCGCGCACACACACCATATATATCACACATACACAAACACATCGCACATACAGCACACACACAACACTAATACTTACTAGGCAGGTATATACACACAGGACTTGGAGTCTCTAACCAGTCTTGCCCAAGATAGTGCCTGGGACAACACCAGACTGTGACTACTCACCCTCTGCTCCTAGAAGAACTGAATGGTGTCCCATCAGTCCAGCGCCAAGAGCCCTCCCTGTCCCTGTCGTTGAGGCCAATCCAATGGTAGGAGGTACTTGTGAACTGGATCAGATATGCCTGTAAATAAAAGGCCACGTTGTTTGACCCTGAGTGAGGAGCTGCTTCTCCCAGTCTTGCGGAAGAGGAGTCAAGGTCATCCCATCCTGGTCCCGGGGCATGCAGTCCACTCCACTGAAGAAGCTGCATCCCTCCGTGCACCTCCCATGGTTCGTCTAGGATCTAGAGCAGGAGCCAGGTCCCCTCCAGGGAAGTTCAGTGTCTCCCATGTTGATTTAATGAGGAGTGTGGCTTTACTGAAACAAAAAGACCTGGCCACAGTTCATTAAGACTCATTTTACAAAATAGCATGTCCTTTGACAGCCATACAAGAGAACTGCAGGGAGAATTACAGGGATGGGAAGTTCTGTAAATTGAATTGTGCCAAACCTACTGTGGTCCTTTGTCAATAACCTTAGTAAATCCTGATAAGTACCTTTGGCAGATGGGCCACCCAGAGACTATAATGCATTTGGTGGTCCTCAAACTCCTATGTGTGTATCTGGCCTTACCAAGAAGGCTGGGTCTATAACTCATGAGCCCTTTACAGTCATTGAATTAACTGATATTAAAATCAAGATTGACAACCAGAAAGGAGGCTGAAGGGCTAAGCAACGGGATGCAGAAGTAAGTTTGTTCCCAACACTTTAAGAGCAGTCACCTGGTGCGACCTCCCTTTGCCTGTCCTCATTGCTGACATCTGTGGGCCCCTGGGTGTCCCCCTCATTCATTGAGGACATTGGGGCTTACTGTTAGTGCTTCTACCTCAGGTTCAAGATGCCATTGGAACTCAATAAATATTTGCTCCCTGACTGACAGAGGTGACATGAAAGTTTCTGCCACGCCTGCTCTGAGAGAGGCAAAGTCAAAGTCCCTTATCCCACACCCACCCCATTGGCACCACCCCAAACCCAAAGTTCTCACCTGCTCCTCTGCAGAGGTCACTGAGGCCAGGTGGGCTCCTTGGGACACACAGGACTGCTCAGCCTCCTGCCAAGATTTCTTGGCAGAAGAAAAGTAATACAAGTTCCTGCCATGGACCTTCCAACCTTGCAGGATAAACTGGAGAAGTTCATCTGGAGCAAAGGTTGGGGAGGAGAGAGAACCGGGGGCTGGCTGTGGATGTCTGAGAGCTGGCCTTCCTGACCTCCCCAGGGGGCAGACCAGGGGGAGTCACAAGCCCATGCAGTGCTTGACGCCAAGTGCCTCAAGGGCAAGGCCTGGGAGGCTGCATCCCCAGCCTACTATCCAATAGGCCAGGAAGCTGCTGCCCAGAACACCTGGCTCCCTCACCCCAGGGATCCTCAGGGCTTTGCAGAGTCCTGCTTTCTGGCTCTACTGTCCTGTTTCCCTACTCATTGCTATCTCCTGGAAGTCCTCTGCACCTCAGTTCCTGCCATCTCCCTGGGGCAGATTTCATAGCCGCTCCATGACATCACTCATTTCCTTGACTTCATCTCCCTGAACTTCAGCTGCCCACACCTAGGACCATACCAAGGACCTTGTCATCACCTGGCCTGCCTGACCTCACAGTTTCAATTAGCTTCTCTCCTGAGCACAAACTCTGATTCTCTCATCTATTTCATGCCCCAGCCATGGCACTCTGCTCCTTCACATCATGTACACCATAGCTCTTTGAGATGGTGCCACAGCAGGCTCCCTTCTTCACCCATTTATTCTTTTGTTCAACATTCATTGTTCAACATCCCTTAACTTCTATGAAGTAGAGATTGTTATACAGAGATCAATAAGACATGATTCTTGCCCTCAAGGACCATACAGTCTAGTCAATAAGACAGGTGTTGGAGATACATTGATTGAAAACTGTGTACATGTTACAAAAGAGGCAGGAATGAGGGCATGGTCTACTTCTCCTATGCTGGATGTGAGGCTTAAGGATGACACCCTAGGTAAGAGTTCACTTGAGCTGAGTCTTCAAAGACTGAAGGAGTTTGCCATGTGATCAGGGCCAAGGAGAACATTCCAGGCAGGGGAAAGAGTGTACGCAATAACACAAAGGTGTGAAAGAGCACGGCATGGCACTTGGTGTGGTCAGTACATGAAGGACAGGAGACAAAGTGGACAGGTTCACCAGCACCAGATCGTACTTCTTTGCGTAGGAGTTTGGGATTTCCCCCTGCGAACAGCAGAATGCCCAAAAGGCCACTGGTTCCTTTCTCTCACATCAGAATGAGCCTATCCTAATCTAGAAAAACTCTCTCAAGGAAGTCCATTAAAAATGTTAGCAGAGGGTTTATATAGAAAATGTAAACATTTTCATGGAAACACCAAATGGTTATTTTCTCATCTTTCTTTTTTTCAACATTTGCCACATTGTCTATAATTAATAGGTAGGTTTTATAATATAAATATTCATGATACATGTTTTTTTAATCTCTCCCTCTACCCTGCCGTCCCCCTCACCTTAGCCTCATCTCTCTCCTCTTCTCAGCCAAGCTCCTTGAATGGCGTGTGCCCCTCATCTTTCATTCGCACCCCACTGACCATGGTCTGGCTTCCAGGCCACACACAACTCTCCACTGAAACTTCATTCCATCGACTTACTAATTGGCCAGAGTCAATGGATGTTTATTGGTTATTTTACCTGGCTTCTCTAAGGCATTTGCCAGGACTAGCCACTCCCTTCTTGAAATTTTGTCCTTCCTTGGCTTCCCTAACTAAACATCTCCTGGTTCTCCACCTGCCTCTAACACTACATTTTCCAGTCTCCTGCAAAAACTCCTTCCCCTCCTTCCCATCTGAAGGCTGACTTCCTGTTTCCATCCTCAGTCTTCTTCTCATGAAGCATTTTATCTCATGCAAACCCCCTAACTTCACTTCCATTACCACAACCAGAACCAACATACCCAAAGCTCCCACATCTATATCTACAGCCAGGAACTCTCTCCTACACTCCAGAGAGCCTGCAGGTTGACATCCCCTCGAATGTCCCTACAGCATCTCCGACTCAGCATGTTCAAATCTTGCTGCTCTTCTGCCTGTTTTTTCCCCATCTCAGCAGCAGAACCATCTAGTCAGCCTCCCTGAAGCCCTACCATAGATACTTGTTTCCTGAAGGATGAAACCCAAGCTCAGAGGCCTTCCTCACCTAGCTGCTATGTCTCCACGTATGCCTACCTTTCTAGCACAGTATCTTTCAAACTACAATTATCAATCCATTAGTGAGTTGGGTCAGGATATTTTTTGTTTTTGTTTTTTTAATAAATTATAAAATATCATATTGCATTCACGCAGTAAAAGTTTTGTTTTCTGAAACATGCATGTGTGTGTATGACACACAGAGTTATACTGGGTCACAATGTAAAATGAATTTCATGCTGTCGTTTGGAAGCCACCATTCTGCCCACTGCCTGCTAGCCTTTCAGCTTGCTCCTCATCAACTGCCCTCTCGGTCACTATCCAGTCACACAGAACTGCTTGAAGTTTCCCAAACCTCATGGTTTCACATCTCCGTGCCTGTGAACCTGCCGCTCTTTTACCCTATTTTCTTGGCAAACACCTACTAGTTTTCCAGGATTCCTTTCAAGGGCCATCCTCTCAACAAAGCATCTTTTGATCTTTCCTCCCCAAAAGATTTCTCCCTCACTCCTTGGAAGATCCCTTCTCTACTTCAGAGGACGCTGGCCCCCAGAAGAATTCTTCTTTCCCTCCCGCCCTCCCCCAGTTCCTAGACTTGCTCCTGACATAACTCTTACAGCCTCTCCTCTCTGCCTCTACACATGCCTTTCAGGTAAGGCTGCTCTACCAGCCTATAAGCTTCAAGGGTGGGCATCACACCTTATTCATCTTTATGCCCCTGACATATAATAGGGCCTCAAAAAATCTTTTCAGATGAATGCATGGATGTTGGGTACTACATTAAATGCTTTATACATGTGAACTCATTTGATCCTCCCTGTGAAGCAAATATTGTCCCCACGTTGCAGATGAGAAAAGTGAAAGTAAGCAACTTGATTTGTGACAGCAGGAAGTCAGATAGAAGACTGTCAGACCCCACTTGTACACACTGTCTTTATACACCCTTAACCATACATAGTTTATTTCCCATGTGTTTGTTTTGTCATTCTGGCCGGTGATAGGCAACCTCAGAGGAGGGACCATGATGCTTGTGCCACCTCTACCACTGCCTGGGCAAATAGAACCTAGTTGGTTGGATGTGGCCCCTTTCCAGAACCTATGCTCCTTCCCAGAGGGATACATGGTAAAGTAAGCAAAAGGCTAAAGGAACAGGAGTCTCCACCCTCCCAAAGACTGTACCTTTCCCAGGCCAACACCTTCCCTCCCACTTACTTTGGGAATTCTGTTGCTGCTCCTGCGAAGCGAAGGCTGCACGGAGGGTCTCCAGGCTACTCTGCACCTCCTGGATTTTCGTAGCTAGTGTTTTAGTGTTCGCCAAATCCCTTTTTAACTGCTGAATCTCAGCATTGGCTCCCTGCAGCTTGCTCTCTAACGTCCGGGTCTTGGGTATTAAGGCCACAGCACCTTTCATTCCTTGTTTTAGGTTTTGTATCTCTCTGCTGTCATTTTTCAGATGATCCTTTAACACCTGAATATTGGAATTTAAGGCATTGGTGTTTTCCAGCTCTGTTTTTAATCCTTGGATCTGAGCGTTTGTCTGTTCCAGACGACTGTTTGCCATTTGGGTCTGAGCAGTGGTCGTTTCCAAACCTCTTTTTAGCAGATGAATCTCATCACCAGCTCTTTCCAAATGACCTCTTAATAGCTGAATCTCAGCAGTGGTGTTGTCTAAACTGCCTTTTATAAGGGTCTGCGTCTGGGAGTTTAGATCATTTGCTTTTTGCAGGCTTCCCTTTAGCTCCTGAATCTCAGCATTGGCTCCCTGCAACTTGCTCTCTAACACCTGTGTCTTGGATTTTAAGGCCACAGCATCTTTCATTCCTCGTTTTAGGTTCTGTATCTCTCTGCTGTCATTTTTCAGATGATCCTTTAACACCTGAATATTGGAATTTAAGGCATTGGTGTTTTCCAGCTCTGTTTTTAATCCTTGGATCTGAGCGTTTGTCTGCTCTAGGCGACCGTTTGCCATTTGGGTCTGAGCAGTGGTCGTTTCCAAACCTCTTTTTAACAGATGAATCTCATCACCAGCTCTTTCCAAATGACCTCTTAATAGCTGGATCTCAGCAGTGGTGTTATCTAAACTGCCTTTTACAAGGGTCTGCATCTGGGAGTTTAGATCATTTGCTTTTTGCAGGCTTCCCTTTAGCTTCTGAATCTCAGCATTGGTTCCTTTCAAACTATTTCTTAAAACCTGATTCTGGGCCCTTAAATCATTGACACTATCCAGATTGCCTCTTAAAACAAGTATCTGAGCATTAGCACCTTTTAAACTACTGTTTGTCAACTGGGCCTGGGCATTTGCCACTTTCAGTCCTGCCTTCAATGCCTGAATTTCAGTGTTGGTATTTTCTAAGCCTCTGCTTAACATGTGGAGCTCAAGGCTGGTGTTTTCTAAACTAGTTTTTAGGAAACTCTGGGTCTGGGAATTTAAAGCATTTGCCTTTTCCAGATCTCCCTTCTGTCTCTGGATCTCAGCACTGGCCCCCTCTAAGGAACTCTTTAAAATCTGGGTCTGGATGCTCAAGGTACTGGCATCCTTTAGAGCGCCTTTTACCACCTGGATGTCAGCACTGGCATTTTTCAGATGACCACCGAGCATCTGGATCTGAGAACTGACATTATCCACTCTGCACATCAACATCTGGATCTCCATGCTCCATGTGCTGGAATTCTCCACATGGTCTTTAAACATCTGGATGGCCTCTTGCAATTCTGCCACCCTGCCAAGGTGGTAGAGATCTGGAGGGAGGAGATGAAGAAGGCAGCCAAAGAGGCCCATTACGTAGGGTAGCATTAATTATATGAGCCAGCTAGAGTGTTTCTAAAATCTCCAGGGGGAATGTCTACGACACAGCCCTAAGTGCTTCTCAAGCAGCCTGCTGCTCACTATAGCCACTGAGACCCTGGGCATGGGCCACCTGAGAATGTGAGCCAAAAAAAGAAATAAATAAAGGGCTATCCTACATGAAATGAGGGGCAGAAGGATTAAAATACTTGCCTACTGTAAACTAGCTGCCATCAAGAGTCATGCTGGTAAGCCTTGGATGGTTTTGTCATTGTAATTGAACTTGAGAGCAATTGATTATATCATTCAGAGCTGTTGACGTTTGATTCCATTAAAATTGCACAGTTAAAATGGTCATTACAAAGAGTGACTAGATTAACAGCTGAAGGAGACAGCCAGACAGTAGATTCCTGAAAGTCTTGAAGAGACTGCCTAAGGTCAGACAGGGTCAACATCTGACATCATCAGAGGCAGATCCAGAAAGAAAAAACAGCGATCTCCTACCATAGAAGTTCACACCACAAAGTCAGGAAATCAACACAGATCAATTTAAGAAGCAGAAGCAAAAAAGAAGAGTCTCACAAATAATGGGAAGACAAAGAAACACCCTTTCCCCTGCCCCCATCAAAGGGAAAGGAGGAATCCCCAGAAAGAGAACTAAATAAAATAGAGGCAAGTAAACTATCAGATATTGATTTCCAAACAACAGTTCTAAGGAAGTTCAGTGAGCTCAGAGAGAATTACAAAAAACTACAGGGAAACTATGAGGAACTTACTGCAAACTATATCAGCATGAAAAAAGACATAGAAACTATCAATAAGAAACAAGAGGAAATGAAGAATACAACTTCTGAATTGAGGAACACAGTAGAAGGAATCAAAATCAGGCTTGATGAAGCTGAGGATAAGATCACTCAGCTGTACGAAAAGGTAGAAAAAGCTCCAGAAAAAGCGAGAAAATGAAAAAAGACTCAAAAAACACCAAGAGGCATTTAGGGAAATGCGGGACAACCTGAAACATAATCATATCCATAAAATAGAGATACCAGAGGGAGAAGAAGAGGAACAAGGGATAGAAAACCTGTTTGAAAAAGTAATGTTGGAAAACTTCCCTAATTGGAGGAGAGAAAAAGCCACACAAGTCCAGGAAGCACAGAGGGTCCCATTCAAGAGGAACCCAATGAGGTCCAGTCCAAGACACATCATCACTAAAATGGCAAATATCAAAGACAAACAGAGAATCCTAAAGGAAACAAGAGAGAAAGAAGTAGTAACACATAAGGGAGCCCCGTATGGCTAGCTGACTTCTCAACAGAAACACTGCAAGCCAGAAGGGAGTGGCAAGAAATATTCCAAGTCATGAAAAGCAAAGGCCTGCAACCAAGACTGCTCTACTCAGCAAGACTCTCAATTCAAATGGAAGGTGAAATAAGGGGTTTCCCTGACAAAAGAAGGCTAAAAGAATACATCTCCACCAAACCAGCACTGCAAAATATGCTAAAGGGACTGCTTTAAGATGAAGTAAAAGAGTCTCTGAGTACCCAGTTCTTTTTATAGTCAGCAATACTTGATATTACCAATATTTGTAATACTTATTAATCTGATTATGACAATGATGTGTTATTTTAATTGTTACTTTATTATTTGTTGAAACTAAACCTATTTTTGTATAATTCTTGCCTATTTCTATTATTTTTAAAAAGCTTTAAATGACTTTTTGGTATTCTTTAGCCATTTTTTTATTAAATGTTTGTAGAATTTTTGCCCTAAAACAACAACAAAAAAACCTATTTACCCTTTTTTAGATGTGTTGCAAATACTTTCCTATTCTAAGACTTGTCCTTTAACTTTTTCATATGTATGTTACTATATAGTCTTAAATGTTTAATATAGTCATATTGTCAATATTTTACTTTATAGCTTTTGGGTTTGAATATTTTACTTCAGTGTAAGAAAAATATTATTTTGTATTTTCTCTGAAAACTCCTTTGATTTTACATATTGATTTTTAACTCACCTGAATATTTTTTATATAATGTGTGAAATAGAGCTCTATATTTGTTTTATTTCAAGTAATAGTGGTCCATGCACCTTATTTGTTGAATAAGCCTTATTTTCCCCATTGATTTGAAATATCAATTTAATCATACATTACATTGTTAGACAGATATATACATTTGTCTCTAGAATGCCCATTATATTTCACTGATCTACTTGATTATTTCTGTGCTGGTGACATTTGTTTTAGTTGCTGAGACTTTATAATGGATTTAAATTTTATAATATTTCGTAATGGATCTTGACATTTAAAAAATAAATAAAATCAATCTGCATATTAACAAAAAGAAGAAAGAAAGAAGGAACTCCTACCTTTTGTGACATCAAGGATGGAACTGGAGAATATTATGCTAAATGAAATAAGCCAGTCGGTGAAAGACAAATACCATATGATCTCACCTATAAGTGAAATCTACTCAACGAAATAAACTAACAAACAAAATAAACCACAGGCATGGAAACATGGAGCAGACTGAAAGTGACCAGAGGGGATGGGGAAGGACAATGATGGAAAGAAGGAGAAGGGACTAGACAAAGAACATGTATGAATGGCCCATGGACATGGACAGCAGAGTGGGAACTGACTGTGGGAGAGGGGGGGCGGAGTGGGATGGGTGGAAGGGGGCAAAGGGGGAAAAACTGAGACAACTATAATAGAATAAACATGACTTAAAAATAAAAATACTATGAGAATGGTCATTACAAAAAAGAAACTTGGTATGAATAAAGCCCATATTTATTCCTATGCTATATTTCTACCAAGCATGAACACTTTGACTCACCCTTGTTACTTCCTAAAAACACATAGACCACAAATAAAGGAATTTTCTGACCACAAATTCCATGGGAAAAAGAAACAGAAACAAACAAACAAACAAAAAATGGCACTTGAAGAGGAAGCACTCTGTTCATTCCATAGGGCTTAGTGGAGGCCCTCCAGGTGATCCTAGACCCTGGAGCTAAAATGGCCTTTCAAAGGGCTGACAGACTCAGTGTTACGAAGGACAAGGGTCTCTATAGAACAGTTTGAGGATATGAGACACCTGAGCAAAAGGTCACTTGGTCCCTAGGGTCATTCAAGGAAACTCTGTAGTCTCTTTTATCTCCATGATCTTCCCCACCAAACCCACCTGCAGCTGCCTCTGGTCTTACTGGCCCCCTTTGCTCTTGAGCTAAGACCTAATCTTAGACATTTATGGTTTTTAGCTACTGATTCCAACCTCTCTCAGAAAAAGAAAGAAAAATCCAAGTAGGCAGGAACTCTTTCTGAAAGATTCCTGCCTTATTCTTCATGCCCTCCCTAGGTAGGTGTGTGAGGCCTCTATGCTGAGGTAAGGCCAGGCAGGCCAGGTGGCTTTGAAGATGCAGGAAGTCTAGTCAAACATTCTGCCTTGTAAAGATAAACACATAGATCAATGGAACAAATTAGGGAAGGCAGAAATAGACCCACACATATATGAACAATTGATGTCAATGAAGATACAAAAGCAATTTGTAGAGAAACAATAATCTTTTCACTAAATGGTGCTGAAACAATTGTATGTCCACATGTGAAAAAAAAATAAATCTCGTATACAAAATTTAACTTAAAATTAATCATAGATGTAAATATAAAACCCAAAATTATAAAATTTCCAGAAGGAAACATAGGAGAATGTGTTTGTGACCTAAGAATAAAGACAGATTCCTCAGATATGAGACCAAAAACACAATCCATAAAAGAAAAAAATTGATAAGTTAGACTTCATCAAAATTTACATCTTGTTAAGAGAATGAAAAGACAAGCCATGGGCTGAGAGAAAATATTTGCAAATCATATGACTACTAAAGGACAAAAAAAAAGTACATACTATATTATTCCTTTTATATAAAACTCTAGAAAAAGCCAAGTGATCTATATCACAGCAAGTAGATGGGTGGTTGTCTAGGGATGAAGGGCAGAGGGGAAAGGGAAGGAAGACAAAGGGCACAAGTAAACTTTTGGGGGAGGAAGATGAATATGTTCATCATCTTGATTGTGGTGATGTTTTCACAGGTATGTACCTATGTCAAAGATATTAGCGTGTACACTTTAAGTGTGTACTTTATTATATGTCAATTATACCTCAATAAAGTAGTTTTCTAAAAAAAAAATTGTGCCTTTCTGTGAGGATAGTAAAACTCAATCAAGGGCATGGGAGTATTGGGGGAGAGGCTCATACTAGGGTCTGGGCACCCGCATGCTCCAGCTCCCTCCCACCTGCCCCACTGTGGCTACTCACCCTCAGGTTCCACGGGGAACTGCCCAGTAGTGTTGTCTCCTGGAAACTCTTGGGAGTAGGCATAAGATGCCAGCGCAGGCCTTGGTTTCTGTAGGACTGAGACACCCCATTCTTGGGTCAACACAATCGCTCAGCATTGAGCCTGGGGAACAGGCTGCCCCACCCCAAATCAGGGTTCCAGAAGGAGGGAGATTGACACCGGGTACCGCTCAGGGTTTCCCTCATAGGTCTCTGCTCTTGGGAGGCTCCCCTTGGTCAGTGGCCTTTATGCAGGAAAGAAGGGGAGTCAGTGAGATTCAGATTACCTAGGAGCTTACCCACAACAAAGAGAGCCATAAGAGAGATGACAATGGTCACGACCAAAAATGCCAGGGTGGCTTGAAGAAGCCTTTGTTTCTTGGGGGCAGTAGGAGTCGCTGCCGAGGAGTCCGGGCCTGTGGGGGAGATGCCAGTGTCCTGGAGGAGCGTGCGGGCTAGACAGAGTCTAGCCTGTGCTGAGTCTCCTGGCCTGTCTGATGGGGACCAGAACACCTGCCACACTTACCATGGAGAAGGAAAATGAATCCCTTTAAATAGTTCACCAGAGCTCACCAGGAAACGTGGTAGAAACACAAAGACTGGACAAAGTGTGCAAGGCACACAGAACCTGGCCCAGGCAAGGACGACAAACCACAACAGAGGTGTGGTTTGAAGAAGAGAGGAGGGAGGAAGGGAAGGATGGAAGGAGAGAAGCAGGGACGGAGCAGGAACCCTGGCCTCTGAGTCCCAGGGCCAGTCTTGCTCAAGTATCCTGACCAGAGCAAGACTCACAGCCCTGTGGGACAGCTACCTCCTCCACAAACTGACAGGGGTCAGTCCTGGAGACTCCCTCTGCTGGGGTCAGAAAGCCCCCTGTTGGTGTCCTAAGAAGGTCTGTGCCTGGGAGTCTGGGGGCTGTAGAGCCATACCAACCTGGAGCCCCTGAGACCCCATGGAGTCAGTCCAGTGTGCAGAGATGGGATTCAAAATCAGGCCCCTCTGAATTCAAAGTTCACCCTTACTCTTGCCAGCCTGCCATCCTCAAGCAAAGGGTCTTGGGAGATTTCATGCAAAGACTGGGGGTAAGCCCCGGGCTCTCTGTCCTCGCCCCACCCACCTTCTGCCTTTGCCTGATTGTTCTGGAGGGTGAGACAACGCTACAGGAGCTCTGGCCTGCCAAGGAGGGCCTGAGAAAAATGGTGGAGGGCTGGGAGACAAGAAGGCCAGTCCCTGACTGAGGATGGGCTGGGCCCCCAGTTTTCTCACCGTGGCGGTGCAGGGAGACAACCTGGTTGTCTGTGCAGAAGTAGACCTTGTCGCCTTTCATTTCTACTTCCTTCATTCTCCAAAGCTGCTCCTCGCCTTGGCCCCTGAAGGGTTGCACTCTGGGCCAGTAGTGGTGGGAGGAAAGCTGAGGTACCCTGGACTTTTATGCTCTTGAGTAGGTCCTGACCACACGTAAGCTCTGCCTCCCTCCCCTGCTGACTCTGCAGAAGCACTCCAGTAAGGTCCCTCCCCCCAGGCACCCCGGCGCCGTTCTGCCCAGGCCCTATCTTCTTCCTCTTCCCATCAGCCCCAGCCCTCCCCTGTCCCCAGCCCATCACCCCAACGTCTGCACTCCAGCAGAGCCCCCAGACACTAGCCTTTGGCCCAAAATCACACACGCTTTCACCAGCAACTCAGGAGGAGGTCAGAGGTTCCTTCTCAGCTTTGCAGAAGAAAATCCTGGGACCCATGGCTGATCTAATCCTAGCCTCACACCCTCTCAGGGTCTCACTGCCCACTCAGGACCTCACAACTAGCATGGCAGGAAAAAGTCTATGGTAGAATAAAAACTATGCCTGTTGCTGTGGACCTAGAATAGTAAGACAGGGACGTGAGGCATCCCACTGGGGCTGTGTGAGCCTGCAGTCCCCATCCCTCTAGGGGAGTGACCAGCTAAACCATCAATATTCCCACAGGCTGGTCAAAACACCTCTCCCAAAGTCAATTCTGCGGATACTAGCAGATTCCTGTTCATGGGACAGAGCTCCCAAAACCCATAAATTTTCCTGAGTAATAGGAGTGTTTTTTGTTATTCATAACAAGCCCCTGTCGATTACACTTGAGTTTCTGCTAATAAAGTGACTCAAGGTGGACCCCTAGAAAGCTTCAGGATGGGAGCTGGTCCCAGAAAGACCAAACTCTCACCTTTCCAGCCCTACCCCATCCCCTGACCTCCAGGTAGGAGAGGGGGCCTGGAGATCTAGTTCTAAAAGCTCATGAACAACGAGAGAGTTTTGAGGAGCTTTCAAACAGCTTCCTGTTGGTGAACACATCCACATGCCAAGAGTGTCCTGTACCCCAGCTCCACGGGGACAGAGGCACTTGTGACCACACTCTACGTGCCTCTTCCTCTGCTTGTATCCTTTATCATAACCTGTAATAGTAACTATAGTGTTTTCCTGAGTTCTGTGAGTCATTCTAGTGAATTATTGAACATGAGAGGGGTCACGGGAGCCCCCAGATTTTCAGTCAGCTGGGCAGAAGTGTGAGTTTCATAGAGACCCCATACGGAGTTGGCGTCTGAGATTGCATTGGTCTTGTGGGACTGAACCCTTAACGTGTGGGGCCTGTGCTAACTCCTGGAGTTAATGTCAGAATTAAACTGAATTGTAGGACACACCGCTGGTGCCAGAGAATTGGCTGGCAATTAGTGTCAGAAGTGATGTCAGAAAACACCTAATAGGACCCACCTTGATTCAGTATCTCATCTCTAGCTGATGAGCCCCTGAGTTGATCAAGTTGAAACAAATTCAAAAGGACTGACGGATAAGCCAATGGTTTAAATGAAGCTTAGAACTTCCAGGAGGAAAGAATACTGCTTCAGGGGGTTCTTGCTGTTTGTGGACTTAGACTAAGAAACAGGGAAGTGAGGAGTCCCACTGGAGCTATGTGAGCCCAAAGTCCCCTTCCCCCGCGGGGAGTGACCGACTAAACAGAATCAATATTCCCACAAGCTGGACAAGGCACCTCTCCCAAAGTCAGTTCTGAGGATAATAGCAGATTCTCCTTCCTCGATCCCCCATTACATCAGATAATCTTATCAAAATAGGTCATGTTTTCTTTAACCCTTAAATATCAAATTACATATTTGTCCCCCTATCTCGTCAGCAACCCATTTACAAGATGTCAGTTACAACCTTGCAAATGGCTTGTTCTGCACTCATTGTGCTGCTTTTTCCTATTTTCTCCTTCAGTTTCTGCATCCTGTTCCCATGGCTTTTCCTGAAATCCCTGGAGTCAGCCTCCCATAGGTGCCCTGAGCGCTGAGAAGCCTGCAGCCCAGTCCAGTGGTGGGTCAGCCACACTGAGAGCGCTTCCTCCTGAGGCCGGGCCAGGGGAGCAGCTGCAGCCCAAAGCCTGTGTCACGGATGGCCACTGTCAGCTCGGCCAGCAACTAGCTGAGTACACAGCTGATCTGCAGGGTGAGGACGCCCAGTTCCTGATGCTATGGCTTTGAGTGTGTGTGTGTGTGTGTGTGTGTGTGTGTGTGTGTGTGTGTGTGTAACGCAGAGCCACCATCAGTTGGCCTCTTACCTCCTGGCCATGAAAGCAGACCTGAGAGGAAAGGACGCAGGAGGAAAGTGAGGGCATCCGTTGCTAGAGAAGTCAACAGCTCTGCCTGAGACCCCAGAGCATCCGCCACACCCCTTTCCCTCTGCCTGGACGGGGAGCTGCTGGAGGAACCTCCCCAGAGGCTCATTAGAGGTCCAGGGGTGGTGGAAGAAGAGAAAGAGCATGTCTTGGTTTCTATTTCCCCACACATGGGACGGGCACAGGCCAGGCCCACTGAGAAGCTTCTTCCTCCTAGGACCTGAGAAGCTGAGGGAGCCTCAGAGCAGAACTTTGGGGATCCCTTGCTCAGCTGGAAGGGTGGAGTCTAGGCCAGGAGAAGGCCACAGTCCTCCAGACATGGTGGCCTCAGAGGTGTGATCAGCAGGACTCCTCTAGCACCTCCTTCCCTGGCCCCATTCCCCCCGGCTCCAGGCTCCCAGCTCCTACTTCTCCCACCTGCCAGCAGGAAAGAAATGTCAGGAGGCTGCTACATCTTTGACGAGGGGTGTCTCTGTTCTCTGGCCAGAAAAAAATCAAATGGACATTTTATACATTAATATCAGAGCCTGTCATCAGCCAGGGCCTCTTATGCCTTGGGTTTTTTTTTTTCCTGTCCTTACTAAAGGGTACAGGGCCATGCTCCTGGACATGCAGACCCCTAGCTTCAGGCACCCCAGAAGATTTTCAATCATCCATATAAACCTCTAACAACACAGAGTGGACAGCTGTCTTCCAGACAGTGGCCAGGTCCAGCAGTTAGTCTTCTAATGGTTCTCCCTGCCTGTGGTCTTGCCTCCCTCAAGTCCTGTCACCATATTGCAGGCATAATGGTCTTTCTCAAAAACCAGTTAGGCAGGCACACATTATATTACCTACGTCTCTCAGCCAAGAAGAAGCAACACCACCCAATGTCGGTGGCAACCACATCTCGGTTTCTAATACCATTCTCAAAAAACCAAATAAAAAACAAAACAGGCTTTATTGGAGAAGTGCCTGATTCTAGGACTGGGACAGAAAATCTACAAAATCTACAAAAGTGCCTGGAGTATCTTGTCCTTTCAAAAAGTAAAGAGGTGCTTTAAAAAAATGATGAAAATATGTCAAAAGGACACAGGAACCAAATGAAATAGATCTCAATGGCCAAAGCTGGAAGAACTTGATCAATAAAATATAAATAGCATTATAGGATTATAACCCAAAGTATACAATCTGTGAATTTATACTAATATAAATACATACATAATAAGTAAATAAATAAATCTCCCATGCAGAAAAATTCCAAATAATTTCTGTAGATGCCTCATCCTTAAAAAAGTAGAGCGCAACTTTTACTCCTTAAGGGTGGGCAGGACACAGTGACTGCTATGGTGTGAAGGTCTGCGTCCCCCTCCAAATGTATATGCTGAAATCCTAGCCCTCAATATGATAGTATAGGAAATGGGGCCTAGGGGAGGTGATGAGGTCACGAGGATGGCATCTCATGAAAGGGGTTCGTGCCTTCATAAAGAGGGCCCCAGAGAACTTGCTTGCCCCTTCCACCATGTGAGGACACAACAGGAAGCCTACATCCTGGAAGACAGCCCACTGCATCAAAGAAAAATGTCCCCTCTGTACAACCCTATGGAGCAGTGGGCCACTCTGCTGAGCCCACCTCTGTGCTTCCACTCTGCCCACTTCCTGTCTGGCGCTGCCTGGATTCCTGCCTCAGCCACTGGGCTGGGATTTGAACCCAATCCCTGTGAACAGGGTCTCTGGGGAGAGTGGGAAACCTGAGGCGTCTCCACCTTGAGAGTAAAGCCAGAGAACAGAAGACGGCCCCGTGAACACCTGAGAGGAAAGACCGCCGAGAAAGTCATGGCACTTTAGACCTCATTCTCCTTCACTTTGGTAAAACCAGAGATAGACACTGCTCTTACTCTGTGGCATTTCCAGAGCTAGAATTCCCCTGAGGATAGTCCAAAATTTCACGTCTAGCAAAGCAGATGGCCTTTCCTGCACATTCCTCTCTACCCCCAGGAACAAAACGTGCACACAGAGGGGGACTTCACCCAGGCAGCATTTTATTCTAAGGAAGGTTGGCATGAACTCACAGGTACTGAGGGCCACTTCCTCTGCTCAAGGCAAGGGAAGGGAGGGAATGCAGGAGAAAGGGGAGGTGCAGGGCGATGAGGCAGAGGGGCTGGGCCTCAGAGTTTACCGAGCAGATGCTGGTCCAGCTCTAAAAGGAACAGTTTCCAGGTCAGCCCCTGATCTGAACGAGCTGAGCCTGTCCCAGGAAAGAAGGGGTTCAGAACTCAGACGATGTGGATGAAGAGGATGATGGGCACTTGGTATGGACAGGATCTCCAAGAGCAGACCTCTTCCCAGAGAACATGACCATCTAAGCAGGCGACTAGGAATTTGGGGGATCAGCAGGAAAAGTGCTGAGTATCAGTATCAGGAGAGTTGCTTGAGTGTCTGAGCAACTTTCATGTGATAAAACTGAGGCTTCTGTGAAGGGACTCAATTATTCTTCTAATGGTTCTCCTTGCCTCTAGGCTTACCTCCCTGAAGTCCAGTCACCATATTGTAGGCATAATGCCTCCCTAAAAAACAATTTGGTATGCACACATACATTACCTAGCTCAGCCAAGGGGAAGCAACAGCACCCCAGTAGCAATGGCACCCAGATTTGGCAAAACCCCAGGGTGTTGCCCCAGATTATGGGTCCTGATCCATCTTAATAAGGCAGTTTGATCCTCTCCACCATCCCCTCCCATTTTAACCTACGGTCTTCTTTCCATTCCAGCTGCCTCCGTGAGACTGCAGAACTTCCAGCTAAGGCAGGCAGATGCCAGATGCCTTTGAGACAATTTTGAAGCAAGGGAAATTAAGGTGCGAAGTCTCCTTGGAGTATAGAGGATGAGGTGGCACTTCCTTGACTTTGACACACACTGAAGCTCAAAGTGCCAAGTACGGGGCCAGTCCTGTCATGGTTGTGATGGGATGTAGGGACGTTTACAGATGAAAAGGAACTTATTGTCACAGGAAGCATCATTCCATGACTGAAGTGAGGACGTCTTTATATTGACACAGTGCTCATTGTTCCCAGTATTGTTGGGCTCACCTGGAATCCAGAACCTACCAAAGGGGAGGAGGGGTAGAGAAAAACTTATTTCCAATGAAGAAATGAGTAACTTCAATCCCAGTTTTGGTCCTAGGTGGTAATGTCACAAGTTTTTGAACCCAGGCCTGAGAGAAAGGGAATTGGTAAACTGTCAGCCTCTAAGCCTGCAGTCATTCCCAAATTAGGTATGCACACATGCATTACTTAGCTCAGCCAAGAAGAAGCAGCAACAGCCCAATAGCAGTGGCACCCAGACCTTTGCAAAACCCCAAGATGTTGCCGGCCCATCTCTCTCAAGGCTCTACGCAAACGCACAGTGCTGACACCTAGACTCAGGCCAAGCCTCCCGCCTAAGCTGGCTAGGCAGCCATGCTGCTAAACCCCAGAGGTTCCAGAGAGGCCACAGATTTGTCCCCAACCCCACAGCCAATTAGTGGAAGAGGTGAGCTGGATTTTGGTTCAGTTTCCTGCCACCCATGATCAGGGAAGAATCACAAATTCTGTGGTCTGGGGGAAATGTCACCGCGCCCTTCTGCTCTGCACCTGACCCAGACACGTCGGTCAGGCTGGGAAGAGGGGCTCTGGGGAGCTTACTTCATACTCTGGACCTTGTCAAATGGAGTGTCATCCACCCAGTACCAGTCCCCCTCGCTCCCTGCTTTGGTCAGGCCGATCCAGTGGAAGATTTCCCCTGCTGTCCGGTACAGAAACTCCTGCAGGGAAGACAGAATGAGCAGACAATGCCATCACTCAGTTGGAGCATCTGTCACTCTGGGTGTCCTTTGCCTGTCCTCAGTGACAGCCTCTGAACCCACAGACACACTATGCACGCTGACCTTTCTCAAGCTTCTTTCTGTCCCTGCCCAGAGCCCAGAGCCCACCTTCCAAATTCTGATTTGTCTCTGCCCTGCAACTAACAGACTCAGGACTCAGGCCTCTCTACCGTCAGGAAGCAGGTGCTGGAGCATAAGAAAAAATTAGCTAAACCCAGAGCAGGAAGCCCAAGAGAATGGCCCAAATAATAATATGTAAATTTAGTGAGCACTTAATATGTACAAGAAACTATACATTTATACCTCCCTTACTTTTTTTTTTTTGAGGCAGATTCTATCGCTACTTGTGTTTCCGCTGGGACTAGCTAGAGGCAGGGTTGGGGCTTGGCTCTGCCCCCAGAGCCCATGCTCTTACCTGCCCTGCTAGCACACCTCCCAGGTAGAAGGGGCTTGTTCAGGGCGCTGCCTCACCAGGTAGGAAACCTTTTGGGTTGTGTAGTGTTATTAATGCTGTTTACAATTATTTCTGTTTTCTGGGCACCCAGGAAGATGGTACCTCCCTGCTCTCTTCGAAGCTGGGAGTATGTGTCATTTGCTTCACAAATGAAATGTGAGTAGAGGAGATATCTGTTATTTCCAGGCAGAGACAACGCACAATTGGTCATGTTTCCTTTTTCTGCCTTAGCAATTATGGAGACATACATGAAACAAAGTCTCCTTAGGCCTATATCCTTGAGTAACCACGATGAGCAAAACCCTTTATTATTCCTTGTTAAATACATAGTATAAGTGAGAAGTAATCCTTCATTGTTAGGTCATTGATATTTGGGAATTTTTGTCACTGCCCATCCTACCTAATACAGCTATTATATAGCTCCTTCCTAGAGCCCGTAGAAACAGCACTCACCTGTTCGCTCTCTGAGGTCACTGAGGTCAGCTGTGAATTCCTGGACGTGCAGAACTGTTGGGCGCTGTACCAGGTCTTTGGGACACGGGAAAAGTAATAGAAGTTCCCCCTGAAGTACTTCCAGCCTTGTGAAACCACCTGCAGGATGTCATCTGGGGAACAAGGGGAAAGGTGAGCACTGCTGCTCCTGTGTCCTCTGAGCACCGACTGGGCGGGAGCACTTGAGTGGGACCCCAGAGGCAGCAGGGGACGGGGCTGGGCTCTGGGGCCCTTAGGGACACTCTCTCAGATCCTGAAAGTCTGAGTGAGATTAGTAGAGTCCGTTGGCTCAGAGAGGAGAGAGTGAGATGGATCAGGAGTCTGTCTCTTATGAGAAAGAAGCAACTCTTCACTGGCGATCACAAGTGGCTGAGACCCTGGGCTCTGGGTAAGAAACTTAATGAAAAATGGCTGGGTTTGGGCCAGGACACAGACTCCCTAGTGCTTTTATATTCTGTGCCTTTGTGTGTGAGCCAAAGCTGGTTCCTGGTCCTTTTTCTCCTGAAAAGCCCCTAGGTCCTCCCCAACCCCGATGCTGAGCCCTCTCTTTCCAGCTTTCCAGCCATGCCTGCCCTGCTCCTCTTCCACCTCCCTCCGCACACACCAGACGGTGGCCTCATGCCTGAGACCGGCAAGGTCCCGTGAGCCGCTTGCAACATCCTTTTCTGAGTCACTTACTTTGCTGTGTGAGCAACTTGTTGATATTCTCCAAACTGCTCTGGAGTCCACGGACCTTTGTGTTTAAAGCACTGGCTTTATCCAAATCTCTTTTTAACTCTGGGATTTGAGCGTTTAAATTATAGACGTCCTCCCAACTTCTTGTTAATATCTGGATCTGTGCATTGGCTTCCTTCACACCAGTTTCCAACTTCTGGATCTGAGAATGCACATGCTCCAGGCTGGCATTCACCATCTGGACCTGAATGCCAGCTGCCTTCACGCTGCCTCTATTCCTCTTAATTTCAGAACTCAGGCTGCTGATGTTGTCCACACGACCTTTCAGCAACTGGGCATTGGCCTGTACATCTGACACTGTGCCCATAAACCAGGGATCTGGATTTGAGAAAGTAAAGAAGTCAGTCAAGGGGATCCCTAGGGATGGAAGTAGGGGTGTTATTAGAGTGATAAAAGCTAGGGAAGGGGAGGGGACAGGCTCAAGCTTCCCAAAGACCCAACCCACTGTTGCCTACCCCACATTCATTCATAATCTATGTAATTATTCAACATGTGATGGCACCTACCATGTACCAGGAACTCTGATAGATGCAGGTAATGCAAAGATTGAGAAACACAGGCTCTCTATTAGAGGACCTCATAGGCAAACAGAAGCAGGGGTTAGAACCCAGTCCTAAATTTTCTTTGCCTGTTCAGGGCCCATTTGGTAAAGGGGTGCCCTCAATCACCTCTTTGGCACCCTCCCCACATCCGTCTGGTCCTGTCACTTGATTCCCAGCCTTCTCCTTTCAGAGCCCCCTGCAGTGACAGTCCGTGAGGGCCGCACCACAAGCTGCATGTGACCGCGGGGGAGCCAACCACGCAGACTTCTAATCTGGAAGTGGCTTCTCCAGAGAACACAGAAAAGGAGAATTACGAAACCATTTCTCCTTTTCCCTTGTCCCTACCACTGTCACACTCTGATCAGGACACAAGTTTGGCATCAGAGAGGAGACCAAAATTAAACCAAGGAGGTTCCAAGCAGAAGAGACCCTGCTCAGAGAAGTCTCCAAGTCTGAGATCAAATATGTTCCAAAGCCAGGAAGGGAGGAGCCTTCTGCAGAGCTGCTGGAAGATGAAGGCCCTGCCGGCACCAGAGGCCACGGGCCTCAGCAAGCCTGGGAGAAGGAGAAATGTAGTCACAAGTCCAGCAAAGAAGTAGGAAGACTCCCTTGACTTGATCTTCACGGGAACAGGAGAATGAAGAGAGCACGGAGGGCCTCGGTGAGGGGAGGAACCATGGAGACTTGTTGGCTTCTTGGCCAAGTTCTCCATTAGTCAGTTGGAGCTGAAGGTAGAGTTGGGACTCCATCCCTTGTGAGGCCGGGAAACATCTCACTCACTGTTAGGGGCTGCCCACAAGGCTCTGGATCAAAGGGATGCAGAGCTCAGAGAGGGAGGAGAAAAATGACACAGGATAAAGAAATAGGCAAATGTTTCCTGGGAACAAAAGAATGCATCTTAGAGCGCAAGCATGCAAGTGCTGATCTCATTCAGAAAAACCTCCCCAGAGCTGGGAAAGACAGAGCAGCAGCTCATTTTACCAAGGACGGAGACCCTGTGACTGCACGAGGGAAGAGGCAAATGAAACGAGGCAAATGAGAAAGCCCCTGGCGGGAGAGACTGCTGGAAAGCAGGAAAGAGAGGGTGTGGATGCTGAGGGAGCTGGCTGGCTCTGGAGAAAGTCCCGGCTCAGACGATAAGCCAGAGGACTCACAGAGACTGGCCTGCAGCAGAACGGAGGCCAGCAGGACCAGCGTCAGGATAATGACCGCAGCGCGGACTGTGCAAGGCTTCCTCGGAACCAGAGACGAACCCATCTTGGGAGGAGGATCTGTTGGAAGAAGCAGAGAATATTTGTTGAAGCACCAGCACATGGAGGGTTTGGGCACAGAGCACTGAGCAGGCTCTGAGCAGGGACTGGTGCTTGCCTCGGGGCCAGAGGGAGATGTTCTGTTTATCTACGGTGAAGTGCGCATCTGGGACCTCGCTCTCCGCAGCCTTCATCCTGCGCACTCACCCGGACAGCACAGGTGCTTCTGGCTGGCTGCCTCCCCAAGGAACTTTTATCTAGAAGAAAAGGGAAGTGAGTCCCACAAAAAGTCATCATGTAATCCCCAAGTTCCACGTTTCTGACTTAGACACCATGCGTGTTCTAAGCCACAGCTCCATGCTCTCCTCAAATGTCTGAGCTTTCCGGAAGAGTCCACTTGTCTCCTTCTTTAGAGATGCTCTCTTTGGAGGGTCTGTGACATGAACACTTTAACCATCTTGTCCCAAGGCTATCCTACTTCTTTAATTCCCTCATCCCTCATCCACCCTCCCATCCATTTATTCCACAAATACATACTGACTGCCTTCCAAATACCAGGCACTGCACTGGCACTGGGTCACAAAGGGGAATAAATCACAGTCTATGCACTCAAGCACCTCACAGTCTGAAAGGACAGACAGACCTGAGCAAATAAATTAAAATACAAGGTGATGATTATAACAATATAAGAATATGCACAGTTGAAAGGAAGTGCAGAGAATGGAGTAATGATAAAAAAAGGTCCAGGTAGAGCAATTAGCATATTTAAAAATATAGGAGCATAATACAGCATGGAGTGCTTGGCAAACTGTAAGTAGTTTGGTGGTGTTGGAGTATGAAGCCTATTACAGGAGTTGGAAGGACGTGGGGCTAAAGAGCCACCTGAGGTCAGATCCTTTTAGATCGTGTTAACAAACTTGAACTCTGGATTATGGGTGGTAAGGAGCCAATGAAGGACTTCAGGATGGAGAGAGACAAGGACAGGACATTATAGAAAGATCACTCTGATCATGCTGAGAAGCATAGATTAGGTTATGGAAAGCATGGAATCAGGGAGACCAGTAAGGAAACCACTGCAATAATTCCTAGTTTGTTATTAAGGCATCTTAAATGATACATACCCCTTTATAAAATGGGGCTTGGACATGCAAAATTTCAATGTAAGACTTGGATTCTCTTCCTTGGTTCCTGTGCTTGTGAGCTTCTTAAACTGGGGAGGCTCGGCAACATCAGACCAGAAACTGCTCATTCATGTGTAGGAGTTCCACAGCACAGAGAGGAGCTGATTTGGGGCTCAATGAAGGACTAAGGCTGATTTCTCCTGGGCAACTTTTCACGTTTTGAGGTCTCCCAAATCTGAGAAACATTGTATATAACAGATTCTAAACAAATATTTCTTGGGAGGTAGCAAACAGACGAAGGAAGAGAGGAAGGGAAAGAGGGAAGGAAAAAGAAAAGGAAGTCAGTCCAGATAACTGGATAGATAGATGGATGGATGGGTGGAAGTCTAATGAATAGATAGATGATGAATGGATGATCAAGGGTTGGATGGATGAGTGGAGAGATGAATGGATGGATGAATGACTGGGTGGGTAGATGAATGGGTGGGTGGATGGATGTACCTATTCATTGATTATGTTCCAATCAATAGATGTATACATGAAAGATAAGTGAATGGAAGAATTGGGGGCTGATTCCTCAAGTCTGAAACCTATAGTCTGCGGACTGGGATCTGTATTCCAGAAGCTACTGCTTCTTCCCACTGCCTCCAGAAATTTTCATTCATTTCCATAGCAAAGGCATGAGGGAAATGTGATTGATGCCTTGCCCAAAATGCAAGAAAAACTCTGGCCACAGGACTAGAAAGCTAGCCCAGCTTTGCTGAGGCTGAGTGGGTGGAACTGGATGACGGAAAAGTGTCAGGGATGAAGGTCAGAAGTGAGCAGGGCCATGGAAAGAGCTGCCTACATTTTCAAAGGATATTTGAGAGGATCCTACCTTCCTGCTCAGCCCAGCCCTGTCTGTCCAGCGCATCGTTCTTACAGGCCCCGTGCTGCTCTCTCTGGCTGCCCAGGCCTCAGGCTGGAGCTGCTTCTCTGACTGGATGAGGGAACTCCACATCATACTTTCCAAGTGCTGAGAAGGAAGCTGGACCACAAGGACAGTGTCCCATTCATACTATCTCATCTCCTCCCTACCTGAATTCAGTCTCTAGCTTCCAGGGCTGCTACCTGTCCAACCCTTTGACATTAGGTAATCACACAAACTCATGCTAACTCACTGCCTATCTCTGAACACTTATAACTGTACCCATTTTCTTCAGGCTGTTCGTCTAGTGCCTGAGTCTCTGTTCCCCCAGTTAGAACATTCTGCTCCTGGACTCTCACGCTTGGTACCCAGTCTAACTCCAGAGTCACCTCAGCCCTTCTGCTCCGGCTCCTGGCCCTATCTTCACAACCTGTCATAGTTCAGGGCCTGGGGGGTGGAAAAGAATCCACGTTACTCAAGACCCTGGTAGAAGGTGACTTTGGGATCCAGATCTACTCCTGAGGCATCTGAAGGAGAGAAGGAGACACACAACACAACTTGGAAGCACCTGGCCCCTTCCCTCCTTATCAAAAAGTTGACTTTTCCAAAACTTATGCTGGTTGGTAGCATGAGCCATTAATGGAGCACTCATATGCCCTCTCGGTGGTCCCAGGAAAGGATCCAGGAGCTTCAACACACAGGCATCCACTGCAGAAGAAGGGGCTGAGGTTGGGAAACACTTATCCCAGTGATGGACATGGAGGCCTCAGAGAGCTATTCTCCTGATCACTGGGCAAAAGGTTGATCCAGCACAAGGAAGTTAAATGTGAAGTTACCAGAATCCTGGGCTGTGGGACCTGTGGGATTTTAGAGGCAGTGGGTATAAAAGTCCCATATGGAGTTTCATTTCTCACTTGCAAGGAAAGAATGAGTCACATGTTAGCTTCCTATGACCACGTTCACTTGCAGATATTTAACTGAGCATAAGTCTCTCTCCTGTGCATCCCTCTGAATGCCCCACCTGGCCCCTGGCTAGACGGCCTGGAAGGAGAAAGGACAAAGCAGGAGACAAGTGCCTCAGTCATGTTTTCCAGCCAGCAGTGTGAGCAGTTCTCCTGGACACTCAGGAGATGCCAGGTCTTCCAAACAGAGAAGGAACTTTCAGTCAAACCAAGAGTGACCAGAAATCACTGCTGTATTGAGAGAAAAGGAAGCCCATGCTCATTCCTCTGTTTCCCCACTGGCCATGCTCCTGCAGTTCTGAGACCTTCTCTGGATAAGGGTGGAGGAAAGAAACGGTTGGACCACTTTTCTCCCTCCTCTAGTTGGGACCCACCTAATGCTTCAAGGTGAACCATGGGCATATTCAATGGGAGTGGAAAAGAGATGAAGCAACTAGAGTGGACAGCAAACCAGAGAAAGGGGAAGAGGGGGAGGAGCAGAGGGGAGAGGGAAGAATAACTATGAAATGAGAAAGGAGCCATCAGAGCTGGTCAGGCTTGTCCACAGGTCTCACAAAAGATTCTTGCATATAATGTGATAGGGGATTTGATCAGCAGAGCTCAGATAACTAAAAGATTCTATACCATACTCTGGATATTTGCCCTGGGAATAGCGAATAGGACAGAGATGCTAAGAAGAAAGGAGTGGTTGGTAGGATGATTCATCCATCCATTCCTCTAAAATGGTGGCTTTGCCCCAGGTGCAAGGAGAAAGTCAACCATAGACCCTGGCTCCAGAAATAGTGTTCCTCTTGTTGGGAAACACTTTTTTTTAATTCTGAGGAGAAGGGAAGGCTCTCTCAAGATTGAAAAAGACCAAGGACATTATAGGAGGCCACCCAAACTTAATATGGTAAGGAACGGTGGTAGGCAGGATGATGACCACCAGGAAGTCCACATTCTAATCCTCAGAACCTGAAAATATATTGAGTTACTTAGCAAAGTGGAATGAGGGTTGCTAATCAGCTGACTTTATGATAGGGAAATTATCCTGGGTTAACTGGGTGGGCCCAATGTAACAATCCTTGACATGGAAGCAGAAGACTCAGTGTCAGTGATAGGATGTGATAAAAACTTAACCTGTTGATGCTGGCTATGAACCAAAAAACATGGGCATTGAAAAGGAGGAGCGGTTTCTCAAAGGAAAGGGATTCTTGCAATCAGAAATTAGCATGGAGCCCTGGCTGGTGTAGCTCAGTGGGTTAGGTGTCATTGTCTTGAGAACCTAAAGACCGCCACTTCAATTCCTGGTCAGGGCACATGCCTGGGTTGTAGGTCAGGTCCCCAGTTGGAGGTGACAAGAGGCAACCAATGAATGTATCACTTGCACATTGATGTTTCTTTCCCTCTCTCTCTCCCTTTCCCTCAATCTAAAAATAAATAAAATCTTTTTATATTAAAAAAAGCATACCTAAGAAAATGAATTTGCTCCACCAAGAATATGCTCCACCTAGATGATATGAATACCAGATTTCAAATCTTCCAAGCAAGGAAGACTTTCTTGTCACCTGGAGCAAGGTACAGTTTTGGGGGTGTAGGGTAGGGTTGAGAAGGAAAGAAGGGAGGGGAATGAGGCAAAAAGTCAAGCTCACTCCCTCCACCATCTCATACTTCTAAAACTAAACTTAACCTGAGGAAGGAGAGAAAAGGTATTACATTAAACCTGTATATTGCTTTGTGTAATATGACCATTTAACTATGTTGATTCCTCCAATCAATGAACATTGACTCTCTTTCCATTTCTTTGTGTCTTCTTCAGTTCCCTTCAACAATATCTTGTAGTTTTCAGTGTATAGGTCTTTCACATATTTGTTAAGTTTATTTCTAGGTATTTTACACTTTTTATTGCAATAGTGGTTGTTTGGGGTCTCCTGTTCTCCTTTTGAATGGGAATGTTTATTGGGTGATCCTGTCCCTGCTCTACATATTGGAGATGAGTGTGTGGCAGGGTTGGGGGTGGAGGGAAAAGAGGGCACAGACAGCTTCTCCTTTGTTCCATAGGTCTTCAGGGTAAAAGGAGCTATATCCATATCTGAAACAGAATACCAGATTCTGGAACTGTGACTTGATGCTCTGATCAGGTGTCTAGGGCAGGAGTGAGTGTATTTTGCAAGTGGGAGAGTCTTGAATAATTGTGTCCAAGAGGGGCAGTCTGTGTTAAATGA